ACTTTAAATGTCCCATTTGTCAACATTTTATTTTGAAAAATGGTTTTCTGCTTACCAGTGCAGCCACATCCCTTTCAAAATAAAATGGCTACATATCTGATCAATCAGCTGAGAGAAAATTCAGTTTTCAGAGCGTTCAAGCACAGATCAGTGGCTTTAATCATGGAACAACCTTTTTCTATGAAATGTGTCTTATTAAGTACTTGTGTTTTTCACAGCGAGCGTACTGCAGCTGTTAGTAACACATGTTGTAAATTACAAAATGATGTTTAACTTGAGGCACTTGCTTGAAATCATTTCAATTACTGAGTTCACAAATTTGTAGCTTATAGGTTTGTAATAATTCACTTTTCTGATACAGACTATAGTCTGGGCTCTGCTGTTATTTTCTTTTAGCTGCAGATGAATTAAATGATAAAAGATTTGATCGCATCTCCTGGTCTTCATGTTCAGAGTAAGATTTTATCCAAAAGCGGGCGCTGCTGTTTCAGAGATGGGCTGTAAAGCTGTTGATATATAAACATTTTCTTTCTGTTTTCTGCAGGACCTGGAGCTGTTGTCCCAGGAATTAGTTCGTATCAGTAAAGAGAGCAGTCCCGGTAGCAGTGCTGCTGGGTCAGGATGAGGCTATCACCTGGATTAATCCATGCAGTCACTTCCATCTCACCACTACCATTCACCTCAGCTGGAAGGCTCAGGCTAACACCTGGAACCAAGTTTTCTTCCTTACCCCATCTCTGCGCTAAGACCTGCTGTAGGCTCTGACTACTGCCTGAAGCTGTTATGTTTTCACCATTTCAGCCTGCGTCCTGGGTTGTGACTAAATGCTGAAATAATGTCCATGTCATGCTTTCAGCCTGGAGGAAGCAGTACTTTTTAAAGGCGTAGAAGAAGACACTGAATGGAAACACTGAGGATATTAAAAGCTGGCCTCAACTCATGTACGTCTATGTTGAATGTACTGTAATTAGACCGCACTGCTCCTGGCTACGACCTGCAGTGGTCACATTATAACAGACTCGTGCTTTCTGTTGTCTGTAAATCTTTGCTTTCACTGGTTTCTGCTTTATGTCTTAACACTCTGTCTGTCTGTCAGGGCCTGGCTATATCCTGAAGGACGCTTATCCTAAATGACTGACAGTGGTTCCTGTGTGCAGTAACTCTGTTGTGATCCGATTATGTCCCGTCTGCTAAAGAACATTACTGAGTATGTGGGCTATGTCTATGCTGTCAGCTGACCTTTTTGATCTTCTTAGGGAACTAAATGTAAGATCATCATGACACCTGAATACCCCCCCCCATTAAAAGATGCAGTATTTGCGTATTTTATTCTGAAAGTTCAGTTCGCCACTGCCTTGTCTTTCCTGCCTGCATGGTGGTCAGGTCTCTGTTGTGGTGTCCTCGATGTCGTTCAAACTCTCGTCCAGATGTGTTCACTTCTGACTTTTATATCAGTGGGTGACGTCACAGTGGCGACGACCATCTAACCACCAACAGACCTCCAGAGCAGACCGTAGACTCTGAGGTGAATGACGTCAAAGACACCACAGAAACTAGGCCAGGAAAGTAGTACGAGGCTAGCTGTTTATCAGCAACTGAGCTTTCAAAATAAAATACTTACTTTTT